AGTCTCCCAGGGGGAAGGAGCTGTTACCACCCTGGAGGCCTGGAAGGTTGACTATAGGGAGCAGTTGGAGAACCTGCAGGAAGAGCGCACAGGAGCTGTGTGGAGAGGCTGCCAGAGGGTGGAGCCAACCTGCAGCAATCCCCTTCGGAGGGAGCAGGAAGAATCGGTACCCTCACCTCTCTTTCCTCCCTCCCTCTCCAATCTCCAGCCAGTGTGTCCTGCTCAGAGGCTTGAAATACTCAGGGGCCAGTGTCCCTGGGCACAGAGCAGGGTGGAGGAGGGTAGAGGGCAGAGCAGGAGGAAGACGTGGGGGCAGCCAAGAGCTGGCCTGGAGGAGCGCCTGCATCCAATGGTTCTCTTACACACAGGCGCTTTCCATCAGCATCAGTGTGGGGAGACTGTATGTTAAGACAATAAGGCATAGAGGAAGAAAGGCAAAATGATTTTCACCCGTTTTGAATGTCTGCACAAATAATCACTAGGAAACTACCTTGATAAACCTTTCGATGTGACCTTGATAGAGGAATATTCTCTGTTTCTAGAAGGAAATTCTGCTCACGTGCTCCTCGGGGCACTGGGACCGGGCAGTGAGCTGTATGCCCCTTGATTGTGGCGTCCCCGACCCATCTTTGGTGAACTACGCAACCTTTTCCTGCGCAGAGGGAACCAGCTTTCTGAAACGCTGCTCCATCTCCTGTGTTGCACCAGCCAAGCTTCAAGGTACTGTCTGGCTGACCAGGCCCTGTATGCAGGGTCCCTTCAGTTCCTCTCTCTTTGGGGGTACTTTGGGGATCTTCCCTTCACCTCAATACTCTTCCCATCTTCTCTGCTGGACCACCCTGTTCTGATAACACCAGCAAAGTCCCAAAAGGCATCCTTCCTGACAACCTGGAAGGATGCCTTGGCTCAGGATCTCATTCCCAAGAGAAATAGGTTTTCTTCTGTCTTTTTTGTTTTGTTTTTTAAATGTTTTTATTGATTTTTTAGAGAGTGAGGAAGGGAGAGGGAGACAGAAACATCGATAAGAGAGAAATATTGATTGGCTGACTCCTACACGCCCCCTACTGGGGATTGAACCTGAAACCCAGGCATGTGTCCTGACCGGGAATTGAACTGGTGACCTCTTGGTTCATAGGTCAACGCTCAACCACTAAGCCACTTGAGCCCGGCAAGGCTTTCTCCTGTTTTTATTTGAGTGTATGGCCTTTGGAGTCAAGTCCACCAACAGTTTCCTGATAATATTAAGGATAAAGCTACACTTTATCATGCACATTTTAAAATTTAATATTTACAACCATCTTATGAGCTAGGTGCTTTTAGTCCTGTTGCATGGATGAGAATGCAGTTATAAGATTTGTTCCTGGCTATGCTGCTAGTCACAGAGATGACGCGGAGGAACACTGGCTCTAACTGACCCCACACCTGCTCCTTACCTCTCCCCAGGCTTCTGTGTGCCTAACTGTGGCTCGTTACAGAGGCAGCTCCCTGGGCCTCATGTAACAGGTTCTGATTTAGAAGGTATGGGGTGGGCTGGTGATGCAAGCGGGAGAAGTCCATGGATTGCAGCTTGGAGGAACCATGCCTTCTACCAGGCACATGGTGTGGTGCTTAAGCACAGAGCTCCTTGGCCACATTGCCCGAGTTCAGTCCCTGCCTCTGCCTCTTACCAGTTCAGGCAAGTTACCTAAACCCAACTTCCTCATCACAGAATAGGGGATAACAATAGAGATTTTGAGGTTTGAAGTTTACATAAGTTAATATGTGTAAAACGCTTAGAACAATGCCTGGCATATAATGAGCCCAATAGAAGGGTGATCTATTATTATTATAATGCTTTCCATGACACTGTCCATGCTATATTTTTATTATTTGTAGTTAGGAATCGTGGTAAGGAATTGGTGACTAGCCCTTCTTTCACTGATGCCAAGGAATAGTTAGTTATCTGACCTCTGTTCTGTATAATAGAGGACATTTGATGTCCTGTGGGTAAGGAATATAGGATAAACACTTGCCCTGAGATTTTAGAGAAGCTGCTCAACAAAAAATAACGTCCTTTCCAAGAACGCTAATATGTTGACAGCTTTTGGTTCTTTCTGCTGGTGTTGTATTTCTGGACTCTCTGTTCTGAGCACCCTGTACTTCTCTTTCCTGGAGCCAGGAATGAACCCGTGGCTGACCTGCCTTGAGGATGGGCTGTGGTCTCTCCCCGAAGCCTACTGCAAGCTGGAGTGCAATGCTCCCCCTGCGATCCCAAATGCCAACCTGCTCCTACCGCACTGCCTCCGGGACCACCATGACGTGGGCTCCACCTGCAGATATGAATGCAAACCTGGCTACTACGTGGTGGACAGTGCAGAGAGTAAAGTCAGGAAGTGAGTTGGATTGCCCCCGCTCTTTGCAGTTCTCTCTACACCCCATACCTTGCTCCTGCTCTCTTTATAAACCTCAGACCATTGTTTTGGGAATAACATTAAGACTTTCTGGGTGTCCAATGCTTCTTTGGTTTGTTTTGATTTTGTTCGTATGTGTAATTATGACAGGCAGGATGACCAGATGTGCTTTCTGAAAAGATGTCCTTTCCCATAGGAGACCCCGTAGAGCCTCACCTAGGTGCTTTTGAAACGAATCTCTGCCCTGATGATCACTTTCCTTTGAAATTAAGTGTTAGGAGCTTCCCAAGTGTTATATGTGTGGGAACATCCTTGTCAGGACAGTCGGGGTCTTATGGTTGTGGCTCTAGGAGAAACTGCCTGGGCCGGTCCCCCTGTGTGATGCGGGGAAGCTTTTTTTCTCTGCCTCAGTCTTTCTCATCTGTAAAACAAGGATAAAAGTTATAATATCTATGTGGAGACTAAATAGATTAATACATATCAAACAGAAGATTCAGTAAATTTATTTTTAGAGCATAAAACTCAACCCGTATTAGCTATTAGTATCATCATTATAGTCTCTCTACTTTTACCGTCCTGGGCTTCTATGTACACGCTCCCAGACCCAGGAAGCCTGAGCGCCCGCCTTCTGAAGGCAGGGCCATCAGAGCAACACAAGCTCCCAGCACATGGGAGCGGAAGGGCTTTGAAGACAGTCATGCTAGGGTCCAAGTGCCAGCCATCCCCCTTTTATCAGCCAAGTGACATCAGTTAAGTTACTTAACTCCCTTTGTAAATGGAGGATACTGCCCACAACACAGTGCCGGGTTAAGATTAAACAAGATAACACATGTCCAGCCCAGTGCCCTCCTTGTGCCAATTGCTCAATAAATGGTCGCAGAAAAAGAACCTTTTCTAAACAAACAAAAATACTTTCAGATAAAGAAACCCCTTGTACTCAGTAAATAGTAGCTATGCCTTCCCTACCATAAATTATGTCAGTACAGGAGAAAATCAGATTCACTTCTTACCCAGGACTTTATTAGGAGTCTGACTATAGTAGGTATTTTTTTTTTTAACTAGCAAAACCCCAGCCATGGCTTTCCCAATGATGTCAGGAAATACAAACTTTGCTTGTGAGCTAGAATTCTCTAATGGGGCAGAAGAAAATCTGGAGACTTACTCACTGGCTCACATTCGCCTTTCTCTAGTCAATACCCAGCCGCCTTTTTTTGCTTTTGTTTTTGTCAATCCTCACCTGAGGATATTTCTTCCAATTGAGTTTTCAGTGGCCTCTGGCAGGTATAGTCAACAGTTTTTGATGACGGAAAGCACATTTGCATGTGATTTTCATAGGATCTAGGCCAGTTTGCATAGGCACATGTTGACAGGCAGTGAGTGCCCTGGTCATCTTTGAGTGGGAATGGCATGCCACGAGCCTGAGGCTGCTTGCCCCCTGCCTGTTTCTTCTTGCCTCCCTTTTCACACACCTGCACCCCATTCAGGTGTCTGCAGAGCAGTGCAGTGAAGAACACCTGAGGGGGAGAGAAACGCCTCAGGACCAGGGAGAATGAAGGGTGGCGGGATTGCTTCTAGCTTTCTGGGCCCAGTGGGACTCCCCCAGAGCTGGGCTTTCTGCCTGGCCCCGCATCTCCACCCCAGGCGGGGGCACACAAGGGCCATTCATGGGCACAACTTCTCCAGTTGAGGAGCTGGAAGCTTGCATCACAGCGTCGGCATCGGTTTTGGGGTAAACATTTACGTTCGCAAGCGCCACGTTGAGGGGAGCTTAAGTTATTTACCGCCCTGTTTAAGCTGATTTTAATCTTAGTTTATACCTGTTTACATAGCAGGCGGCGGGTTGGTAATCAGGAGTTTGCATGTTGGGCGTAAATCACTGTCAGTTGCCCCTTGTGTTTACGCAGGGAACAATGTCGGCCTTGTTCCTTGATTGGTGGAAAGAGCCCAGAGTTGTATAAGTGGGGCCCTCGGCTTCTTTCTAGGACATGTGGGCAGGAGGAGAAGAAAAGAGAAAAGCAGGCGGGGAGATCAACCCAGACCCCGGGCAACACGCCAATGTTAGCAGTTCTGCAAGCACAGGAACCCCCACCTGAGGGTCAGATTCGCAGCTTGCTGTTTGCATGACCCTGAGCCATGTCCTTAGTATCCATGTGTCTCAATGTTTGCACCCACAGTGTGAGGCGTAGTCATTATTGCTACCCAACAGTGTTGTTTTGAGGCTGAAAGTAGGTAATGTACTGAAAGCATTTTATAAACTATGAAGTTTTATCCATGTTCTGGGTATCGCTTTTTGATAATTTTTTTTAAAAAGTAGAAAACAATGACCAAAAAGTCAGCCAGGTTCATTCCCTTCCTGTTTTTTCTCAAATCTACTGAACACTGTTTCAAGGGAATAGAAGTGTAATTACTGGACCTGACTTTTCCCTTCCATCCAACATGTTTAAGCGTCATCCCACTCAGCTTGGGGATGGCCGGCTGGCACGGCCGCAGCTGGCAGTCACCCCCCCATGTTCTAAGCCAGTCTCTGGGTTGGGAGTGAAGGACACACATGAACAAGACCAAGGCCTCAACCTCAAGGAGCACACACCTCCATGCCCTCGCTCAGTGTGTTATTTCTCCTAGAAGCATAGAGCGGAAGGGCGCATGGCTAGAGGTAGGGGCTTTCTCCTGACCCCGCGTTCCTCGCCCCTCTTCCTGGAATTTGAGGGTGGTGCTGCCCACGCTCAGTCTAGTCCCTGAGGACAGGGAAATGCCATGGCTCAGTCCTGGGTCAAGGACTCTGACCTTGAAGTCATGGGTGGAGTCAGCATCACCCGAAGGCCATGGGTTCCCCAGAGGAAAATTGAGGAGGGTATAAATGGATATTGAGGGGCAAAAAAAATAAATAAAACAAAAATAAATGGCCATTATCTAATGCAGCCATACAATGGTATCCAGTGTAGCCATACGATGGTATAGCCATATCATGAGATATCCTGCTATCGTTAAAGATGTTTGGAAGAATATTGAAGACATGGGAAAGCATTCACTATACAATCAACTCTAAGTAGTTGTAAATGGCACAATCCCTATTTTCCATATGAAAAGTATATTTTTATCACTTTTTTCATGGGATTTGGACTTTCCTAAAAATATCCAGAATAACGCTTGTTTCTTTTCAAAATTAGTGTAGCAGCATTTTTGCATGGCAGATTTTCACATGTTTCTTTGAGGCTTGTTTATTTTCGGAGATAACAGAGGAAAAAACAGAATTGTAACTCCAATTTGGCAGGTCCAGGGGTCTTTTCTCACTCACATTCTGTAAGACACACACACGCTCTCCTTTAAGCACTTTTCTTCTCTCCCATGCAATTTACTTCCACAGACACATCATCATTAATCATTCCTTTGTTTTATTAACCTCACTTCCTAGGAAGCTAAAATAACTTATATTTTATCAAAAACATTATAGTCTCACTTATCTTTCACACTCATAGTTACCATTTTCTCATTAGGTATGATCTTTATGTGTGAAGGTTAGGTTAACCTCATTAGAGTCCATAATTAATTTGACTTCTAAATTATTCCAACCATCTAACTTTACTTAGACAGGGTCTCATTCTATAAGTCATTCATCAAGATGCCCTCCAAAAGGTAGTTGTCAGATCTGCTTGAAAGTAATTGCAAACAACCATCCTTTCTCAGGGTTGCCCATGGGATCAGCTCTTCCAAAGTACATAAATCTATTTAAGTTCTATAAACACAAATCTAGGTCAAGAATGCAATTATTAGGTCTCATATTGTGACTATTTACTGTTTAACAAGTGTTTGTTTGGTAAACCTCTTCAATGGGGTTTTTCTCATTTGGCTCTGGGGGAGAGTCTGGAAGACCCTGGAGTTCGATGTGTATGCTTGACCCATCTGTACACACACAAATCATTTGTGTGGCAGAGAGTTAAAAGCATAATGTCTGGACTCTGTTCTGTTAGGTCAAAGATGACGGTGATGATGATGGTAATTCCTCCTATGTTCTACATGTGCTGATAAATGGCACTAATATATTATATAATAAAATAACAGTATAATATAATATATTATTATATTATATTATAATCTGTAACTTGCTATAATATAAAATAATACATTTCAGTATATTATTACCCCCATTACAGATGAGGAAACTGAGACTCAGAGTATTGCTAGTACATGGTGTTAATGCCCTTGGCTAATAAGATTTTCAGGTTTGAGGGAATTCATTTCCATGGGCCTTTTTTGCAACACCTGTAAAATAAGAAAAAAATCTCGACTGACTTTCAGCTCTAAAAGTCTATGTTGCATTTTCTATCTCAATAGAATCAGTGAGAAGAGTTAAGAGCTCTTACGCTTGGCTGTAAAAACATTGAGAGAAGCAATGAAGAATAATTTATCACCACCAAGGGATAAAAGGAGCAGTGATATATTATAAACACAAATATGACCTGGGCGTGACCTTAGTGGGCAATACCTAAGGCTATGCCCGGAGAACTTCTGGCCTGAAGGGTGGCCAAGGTTGACTGTCTTCCCCTCCATAAGCTTTGGCCAATTGTTCCCCATTCACTCCCAAGAGAACCGAATCCAGGTCTTCCTTGAAGACAGAATTTGGGGAACTTTTTAAAGATTTCTAGAATCGAGCTTAATTCTTAAGTTGAAAGTTTCCTAAAACTTCTAAGAAGATGATTTAGTGGAATTGCTAGGAAAGCTTTCCTTAGTCCCAGAATTACCTCTTGGCTCAGGGTTTAATTACACAGCTTCTAGGGTCAGTGAGGCCTAAGTTTGAATCCCGTCTCCGCTAATTATTAGCTCTTTGGCCTCAAGCAAGCTACTGGTTTGTATTGATCATCACTATTCTTATTTTACAAAATGAAGAGAATAGGAAATAGGAGCACTTACAGGTTTTGTAAGGATTTAATGAGCTAATAGATGAGAAGAACCAAACATAGTGTTTAGTCATATTAAGCTTCAGG